TACTACTCAGCGTTGACTGTGCTATATTCTTCCTCGCCTAAGATCTGTACTATCAGTACCAAGGTGTTCTTGTCCTGTCTCTTACATTTAATGAGTCTGCATCTATAATGCCAGTAAACTTCGTAAGAAAGTTTATTTGCTACACATATGTGATGAAATAAATACAAGCCACCAATAAACTTAAAAGAGACCTATTTAATCATGGCATTCATTACGGGCAAAAAAGAAGACTGAATTCAGATGGTTTCTTGCCATACCCTGGAAGGAAGGGTCTTTTTCCATGTTGTGTATACAAAACCTGCATCTAGGTTACCACTATCACTAGCATTTGCCTACTGGGAGACCAAGCTTGTGATAACAACAGTGATGCAAAAACCTCATGTGGAGGAACAGCTAGAAACCCCAACTATTGCAATGCAGGAGTAAGAAATAGGGATATCTGTAGTGAGAGGTGCGTGCTGCAAGTGGGACCCCAATGAGAGAAGAGCAACAGGGAGCACTCTGCGCTCTCATTTGCATGCACTTTGTTAGGTGCTAATCAACATAATGAGCTTTAATTTTATGAGCACAAAGTGTTGCAATTCGGATACTTATCTGGTGTTCCTGTTAGTGCTCTGAGAAGAAAATTGTGGTACGTGTTAAAACAAGACCTTCAGAACAACCTGGGGCAAAAAGAAATGTGCACACACACTCCTGCGCAGCCGGCTTCAGGCCCAGAGCAACTCAGTGTCCATTTGTAGGCACAGATGTCATTTCAACATTGCCCATGCATCTATTCTGCTGATGTCTCTTTTGTCAGCCCTATTAGCTGCCAGTGCTACATGGGCGATACTCATGGCCTGCGGATTTAGTACAGTAAAGTCTGCCATTGCACTGGGGGGGGGGGGGAAGGAAGGATCTACTGTAACTTTCAGAGCCCCCCCATCTCAACAGGAATGTCCTGGTGGGGCTTCTTGAATTACTACATTCACTAAATGTCACTTGCTCATGACCAAGGTCTTTAGGCTGCTTCTGGACTTGTTCAGAGCAGGCTGAAGCTAAAGGGAGCCAGCACCAGCTCCTTCCCACAGCAGAGACCATGCAGGGTGTCCCTGAGGTGAGCCCAGAAGTATGACCCTCCCAGGCACTTCGGGAAGAGCACATGCCTTTCATGAGACAACATACCAGTGGTAGTAACACAAGGTACCTATGCAGATTCACAGAGTCCCAGACTGGTTTGGACTGGGAGCTCACTCAGTTCCAACACCTGCCATAGGCAGGAACCCCTTCCACTGGAGCAGCTTGCTCCAAGCCCCTGTGTCCAACCCGGCCTTGAGCACTGCCAGGGATGGGGCAGCCACAGCTTCTCTGGGCACCCTGTGCCAGCGCCTCAGCACCCTCACAGGGAAGAAGAGCTTCTGCCTAAGAGCTCAGCTCAGTCTGTGCAGTCATGCACAGATGTATCATGGAGGCTGGTTAAAAGGAAAACACGAACAGTGCAAGTGAAGGAATGTCTGATGCTCCTGAAATGTGGCCTGTGCTGAGCTGGGCAGGAAGCCGTACATAAAAACATCCCAACACTCCACAGGCTGAGGAATGCTGGTGACTGTGGTAATAAATGTCCTTATTTTGGTGTCTTGGTATTGCAGCCCAAAGAGTTATGTGACATTACTGAGAACATAGTGACCGTAACAGAAACAAAATATCCCAAGGGAGAAGCTCCAGCTGTGAAGAACACAGCGATTCCCACCAGCCAGCAGGACTCTGGAGGAAGCACTGAGGTTGCACTGTTACTAAAATTGAATGATGGCAACACTAAGGACAGAAAAAGAACATCTTGCGAGCACAGGATCTGAAGGCTACATAAGACCTATAGGCAGAATCTTTTACCTGTGTCCCTCCCTTAGATACAAAAAAGCAGTAATAATACAGAGCTGAAATGAAATGCTGAGGACATCTGAAGTTGTGTACCCTATTTTCCAAGCAGATGATAAGATATGCCCTTATCAGAAAAACCTTCCGGTATGGACAAGTCCCTGCTGAGAACGAGTGCATATAGAAAGTCAATGGGTAAATAAAATAGGAAGCAATGGAGGTTCTCAGTACATAAACAGATTAAGACTCCTTGGGCCAATGGTTTTACTCCTTGTTTTAGTAATTCCAGAGAATTTTTTGCTGTCTATCACTAACATCTCATAGACTGTTAGAGCTTGTCTATGAAAAGCATCTCTAAGGAGTATCACTGGCCTCACTGATGCTGTGTGCTCACTGAAACTGTGTTTACATGAGGAGGTGACACTACCATCCTCCAGCTGTGAATCAAGGAGAAATTATCTCATCATCAAGCTGCTTGAAATCTTTCATCACCTTTGAGCCATTGAGTATATCAAACAGCAAGATAAAATCAGAGAGCTTTTGAAAGAGATTGCATAAGCAGCAATAAAGCAATGCTGTCAAAAGCACAGTGCAGAGGACATGATGATGGTTTCAGTCAGAAAATGTGAAATAATCCTGAATTTAAACATAAAAAAGACCAGAAATTAAGAGGCAGAAATTTAGTTTCCGAAAGAATCTTGCACATGGAGACTGACAGCAGCATGTAAAAAACCTGCAGCAACACAGTCAACTTCCAAATCAGGGTGGCCTTGGCCTTTTTGAAGATGCTGAGAAAAGGGCAGCAGAGAAGTGATGAGCTCCTCAGGTGGGTGCTTCTTTGTTCCCTGCACCTGAGGTTCAGGGGGAGATTTATTAACATTAGGGGGAGACTGCTAAATATCATAAATACCTTACAGTCATCAGAGGATCAGTAATGAAACAAAGCTGTCACTGGAAACATGTACACTTCTGCCTAAGCACACTGTAACAGTTTGGATCCCTCTACAGCAAGTCCACGGGTGCTGAGGGTTTTGTTGTTGTCTCCAATGAGTTGGTGGGAACAGGCTGTTTGCATGAATCAAGTCTCTACTGTATTAAAACATGATGGAAATCTCTCGTACAAGCCTGCAGTGTAAGAACAGAGCTAAGTGGGTGCTGAGGAAAGAAGATTCTGCATTTCATCAAATCCCAGACTCGTTTGTGTTGGAAGGGACCTCAAAGCTCACCCAGTCCCAACCCCTGCCACGGGCAAGGACCCCTTCCACTGGAGCAGCTTGCTCCAAGCCCGTGTCCAACCTGGCCTTGAGCATTGCCAGGGATGGGGCAGCCACAGCTTCTCTGGGCACCCTGTGCCAGCGCCTCAGCACCCTCACAGGGAAGAGCTTCTGCCTAAGAGCTCAGCTCAATCTACTATTTGAACCGAAATATTTTCTTTATGCCCAGGACAAAGATGAGGATAAAAACCACTCCCCAGTCCACTCTGTGCATCAGTGCAAGACTGAAGTACGGTTGAATTTCTTTTGTGGTCTCAACAGATTTCAGTTGACTACTGCAAAAGCCTTTCAACTTGTCTCTCTGATGGCTATTTTAGAGTCTCAAGGATCTCTGCATTAAGAGCATTCTATATAATTACTCTATCACTTGTCATATATGACACAGTAACAGCAGGGAAAATGAGCAGTTTTATATTCAACCATAAAAGGACTTCCTACGCAGCAGTTTATAGGTCATTGTCTGCATTAATTCAGCTCCTAATTGTGCTCTAATTGTCATTATAATACAATTCAAGTATCCGTAACCTTCTTACTAATTTAGATCCCAGCTCTTTGATGAAGAAAAGCCTTTTTTTTCCTCTTTGATTTCTAGGACTTGGCTATCAACCTATAAATCCCAGGTGAGCTGTGCCATCACTTCCTTCACACAGGACGAGGCCTTGGGTGATATGGTTTAGAGCGAGGTGTCCCTGCCCATGGCAGGGGGGTTGGAACTTGATGATCTTAAGGTCCTTTCCAACCCTAACTATTCTATGATTCTATGATTTTGATTTTTAAATAAGAATCCCACTGCACTGCTTGAAACAGACTTCTCATGTCAATAAATACGTTGTCTAAGTGATGGCAGGGATACACATATTGGAGAAGCAAAACAAACAAGTTACATGCTCCTAGTATGAAAGCTCTTACTCTATCATGTATAGTGAGAAAAAGAAGCAGAGTACATCTTAAATGCACAAAATATGAAGGAGCAAAAGAGAACAACAAGACAAGAGGAGCTGCAAAAACCTCAGCAATTAAAGTAGATTAATAATGGAACAAATAATGCACAGTCTAACATGAGAGATTTGAGCTTCATCTTTCATTTAGGGGAGAACTGAGAACAAACCCTCCCTCTGTATAGGTCCATGAAGTACACATTGTCTCCCATTAGCTTCAACAGGATCCGGTATAAAGTGGCTTTTCCATCCTAAAGCAGATCCAGGCTGCTTGAGGCAACAGGCAACCCATTCTGGAGACCATGCCATGAGAATGCCACCCGAGAGAAGTGAGATGTTCGGTCCTAACCAAACACCTGAACCCAGCAATGGGCCAGATTGCGTGAGATATCAGCACAAAAATAGTGTTCAGCAAATTATTCTTGGCACAAACAACAAGGTTGGTAAATGCCCTGGGAGAAGGAAACACCCTGATGGTGACACCCACTGTCAAAAATATAAATAGAGAGAGCTGGGGATGAAAATTTACAGTCCTGACTCTTATCAGGCTGTGCACCTCCACTTGGGATTGCGGTCAGACTCACCTGCTGGCACTATGAGCTGTGGCACTAAGTCCTCGACTAGTACCACTAGAATTAGCAGTGGAGGTGGTGGTGGTGGTGGAGGTGGTGGAGGAGGTAGCAGCTGTGGAATGAGGAGGTCTGGTGGATACTCCTCAGTGTCCTCTAGAAAATACACCTCTTCTGGAGGAGGTGGAGGCTTTTCTGGGAGAAGCTTTGGTGGAGGAGTTTCCAGGAGCAGCTATGGAGGGGGCTTCAGCAGTGGCAGTTGTGGAAGGATTAGCCGCAGTAGCTATGCTGGGAGAATAAGTGGTGGTAGTTATGGAGGAGGAATGAGCTGTGGAAGTATGGGAGGAGGATTTGGATCAGGTGGGGGTAGTTTTGGGGGAATGGGAGGTGGTTATGGAGGTGGCCTCGGTGGAGGTAGCTTTGGAGGCGGTGGATATAGTGGAGGTGGATTTAGTGGCTTTGGGGGTAGCGGTGGCTTTGGTGGTGGCAGCTTTGGAAGTGGTGGCTATGGAGGAAGTAGTTTCGGTGGAATGGGGTTTGGTGAAGATGGTGGCTTGCTGTCCACGAATGAGAAGCTGACCATGCAGAACCTCAATGATCGCCTGGCTTCTTATATGGATAAAGTGCGACGTTTGGAGGAAGAAAATTCCCAACTTGAACAACTGATCAGGGAGTGGTACAAGAATCAAGGTCCCACTAGTGCCAGGGACTACAGCCAATACTACAGAACCATTGAAGAACTGCAGAACCAGGTAGGATGGAATGTGACTAACTTTGAGCAGATCCTCATTAGAACAGCACTTTTCTCCTGCTGTTTGGAGCAGTACGTCCCCTCCTTTGTGCTAGTGGGAAGCAGGCTGGGGTGGTGACAAACCCGGCTCCTGGTTTTATTCTGTCATGGTGACACGGGGATCCTGGCACACCTGTATTCGGTGCAGGCAGCGTGGTTTGGTGACACAGCAGATCTTTACTTGAGCACCCATCGTGGGTCAGCGCCCATCATGGGGCCTGTCCAGTGCTCTCCTCAATGCTATTGTTTAAGGTCCCTTCCAACCCAAACTATTATGTGATTCTATGATTCTATGTGCATTAGTCTAACTCTAGCCCTCAGCCATCTAAGAGTCCCATATATCCTAGATGACATGGTTGTTGCCAAATGTAATGGTAATTCTGTTTTCCCACTGTTTTATACAGGGGATTTATTTGGCTGTCCTTTTCAAAAAGGTATTTTAAATGGATATTTGTAAACCAAAATTGACAGCAAAGGCTCTTTCTTTTAAGTGGAAGCAATAAACTCTGTATACATGGCTCCTGCAGCATTAGTCAGGTTTGACATTGCCATAAAGATATTCTGAGCTGTATTTCTACAAAGGAATTTCTTCCCTCTATCTGTGTGTCAGACTGAAAAGACAACTGACTGAATCCATCTGCCCTCTCCCTTTCAGATTGTTGGTGCAAATGTGGACCTTAACAAGATCCTCCTTGACATCGACAACACCAGAATGACTGTGGATGACTTCAGACTGAAGTGAGCCTTTCCTTCCCTTCCCTTTATCCCCCCACTTTCATATTGTCTTTGTAGATGCTACAGCCCCTTGGCTCCAGGGACAGAACAGAGAATTGATGGGGAAAGCATGCTCAGAATGACTTGTTTAGCTTCTCATTAATATTTTTCTCCAGACAAGAGACTAAAGGTGCCATTTCCAGGACTGCATTCTAAGTTTCTCCATCCTTACATGCAGATTTATAAGCACAATCCTCATCATATAGATCTCATTGACATAAATTCTACTGAAAGCAAACAAACATATTAAAGATGAAAAGAGAATAAGGACCTTTCTTTTAAGAACTGAGCAAGGGGTTAAAGACCAAAGATGTACTGATGGGAACTCTTCATAATCAATCCACAACCAAAGAGGTCTGGCAGCACTTTGATGGTCTCTCTTGTCTATTGTTCAGGTATGAAACGGAATATACTCTCCACCAGAGTGTGGCAAGTGATATCAATGGCTTACGCCCACTTCTGGATCAGCTGACTCTAGCCAGGTCTGACTTGGAGACACAGTTTGAATCCCTCAAAGAGGAACTGATCTATCTCAAGAGGAACCATGAAGAGGTAAGTTTCTCCACCCTTTAAAACAACAAAACACTGGGGGGTTTCTTCCACCAGCAGTAACAAGATTTTGGCTTCAAGTAGACACAACCTGGCTTTGATTCTCAGGAGCATGCAGCACCCACAGCTGCCCAAAGCCACTGTAATAAGACACGTGGGCCATCATGGGCACAATGAGGCCAGAGAAATGAACAGCTCCAGTGCAAAGTACAGTTTTATTGCTGAAGTCATGGAAGGAAAATTGGAGAGAATATATGGAGGAGACAAAAGGAAATATTGATACAACCTGAAGGGATATTTCCCATTCAGAAGAAAAATACATAGGATTTTCACAAAAAGTATGCTGCACAGAATTCCTTGTGCATGTCCGGGTCAATGTGTACAAGGTGCCTGGCTGCTGTGCACTGCAAAGTTTGCCTTAGGAATGGCAGAATTGTTCCTTTTCCTGATGAGGCCCCTTTGCAGAAGCAACGTGGCTGTGTGAGGATTTGTGTCCCTTTCTTTTCCTTTACTTGAAGCCATGACATTTCTCCTGCTCTTTACCTTTTGTGTTTTCTTTTTCCCAGGAAATAAAGGGTCTGCAGACACAGACTGGTGGGGATGTCAGTGTGGAAGTCAATGCTACTCCTGGCATCAACCTGATGGAAAAACTGAATGAAATGCGTAGCGAATATGAACGACTCATTGAGAACAACCGAAGAGAGGTGGAAAGCTGGTATGAAACCAAGGTAAAGCACAAGGAGTTGGTTACTACATCTTTCACAAAGACCTGAACCTATTTCTATCCAGCAGAGGAAAGACAATTTATCACCTATTATTTAAAGGACATTAACTGGAAATGACTTTAAGCAGTTTACTGGAGCAGACCAGTTCTGGAGTATAGAGGTTATGTGGTAAAGCATAGGGAATGCCTGTGTGAATTACAAAGAGTTAAGTTAGCAGAGTGGCATGTGGGAAACACACACCACCAGTCTACGATACACCTCTCTTTATTCTTGTTAGTTGCTTTCTCAGTGTTTCATGATACCTCCCCCAATGTTTTCTTATTATCAAGCCAGCCTCAATTATGTATGTGAATTTTTCAGATGGAAGAAGTTAACCAACAAGTCCACTCAAGTGGCCAGGAGATACAATCAAGCAACCAACAGATCTCTGAGCTGAGACGTGAATATCAGAGCCTGGAAATTGAGCTGCAGTCGCAGATCAGCATGGTAAGTGAAGACAGCTGCTTCTGTTGCACTGGTGAGACAGGCTGCATGCATCACCAGAATGAAAGAGTGGTTACACTTAGCACTCCACCTTTAGAGAATGGGAATCCAGATCACTTATCTTCAGAGACAGGCTTTTTGTCTGGTTTGTGGTGATCACCAGTTTTTCACAAAAGGGAGTTGAACGTGCTACATTCCCATAAACACCATCCTGTGCTTTCCCTTTGCAGGTGGACTCTTTGCAGTCCAACCTGGAAGACACGGAACGTCGTTACAACATGCAGCTGCAGCAGATCCAGGGGATGATTGGTCCCTTGGAGGAGGAGCTGGCCAGCATCCGCTGTGAGATGGAGAGTCAGAACGAAGAGTACAAGATGCTCCTGGGCATCAAGACCCGCCTGGAGCAGGAGATTGCTCAGTACCGGGCTCTGCTGGAGGAGGGGCAGCAGGACATTGTGTATGTAAACTGGAAAAGAGCACAGAATTGTGTGAACCCTGGGCTGGTGGATCAGTCACAGAGACAATGCATTTGATGATTAACTTTTTTTCTCCTTTCTTTCTCTCTGCAGAATCCCAGCAGGAGGAATAGGAGGAGGAATGGGAGGTGGTAGAATAGGAGGCGGTGGCTATTCTGGAGGAGGAGGAAGAGGAGGATGTGGTAGCATGAGTGGTGGATATGGAGGTGGTGGTAGCATGAGTGGCGGCGGAATGGGAGGAGGAATGGGAGGAGGATCAGGAGGAGGAAGTGGAGGAATAGGAGGGGGAAGCGGCGGTGGATGCAGTAGCATTGGAGGAGGAGGAGGAGGAGGAAGGATCTCTGGAGGCGTCAGCAGTTCCCACTCCTACTCTTCATCTTCCCAGTCTCAGTCCTGCAGGAGTGGCGGTGAAAGCCAAGGTGAGAGCTGTTGTACCTGCACGCTGTTCTCTCAGTCCTGTCCTCACTGGTCCATGCACTCTATCAACAGACTGTTCTGGAGGTGAACAGTGCCAAGGATAAACTGGCATTCTGGGGAAGTGTTAGATTTACTTCTATTAACAGTTCTTCCCTACTTGTGTGCAAAGGATCAATGCCACTTAAGAAACCCACATTCAATGACTATTCAGTTTTGTGGGTGACACCAGCTATCGTACCGCACTGAGGTTTATCCTTTATGCTTTCAAAATGCTTATGGTCACCTATCCCACCACCAAGCTTCTTTTCTGTCTGGTAGATACTGGTGCCTCAGAGTTAGTACCAGCATTGCATAAGTTAATGACTGCTTTGTTTCCAAACAGGGTATGGAAGAAAATCTTTTGACTAAGAATATACCTCGAGGATCCTACAGTGCAACACCTTTCAAACCGGAATTGGCTCAAATCCTCTACAATCCCCTTGCTCCTGAAGAAACAGAGATGCTCTTCACAGTCCCTCAGCCTTGCTGATGCCATCTATCCAAAAAGGCCCATCAGAGCTACCCAGAAGGGCTGCTCAACCTCCTGCCCCACATGCTGCGTGCTGCTTCAGCCCAGAACTTTGGTGGCTTCCATCACTGTCTCCTGAGCTACCCACTTTGCATCCTCAACCTGGTTGTTACTTGGCTTGCTCTGTATGAGGAAAATGTCGCTAATAAAACTTCATTTCTGTCTGATGCAACCAAATCCTGTGTGCAGGTTTTCTTCCATCTGTGGTTGTAAGCACTTAAACAGAGAAGACAAAGCCACAGCAGTACATGCCTCTAGGTAGAAAAGCTGGTGATACAATAGTTGCTAATGAAATTTAGAGTTAAAGCATAATTTTTAGGCATGTAGGGCAGATCCTAATCTTCTCGGAGCATCCTGAGCTGTGCCTTTGCCTTTCAGCTATATGCCAGATACTCTTGTGTAGCTGAGCTCTAAGCTCAGTGACAGTTGAGCCACAGGCTGCAGAACTTAGCACAGCACTACACGGGTGCTAATATCAAACCAGTGCCCACCCAGGCCTGACACAAAGAAACAGGAATGGTTACAGATGACAACTGTAAAATGCATGTTTCAGTTTAACCCACGCTGGTTTAAACTGGAAATGCACGAACTACCGCTCTGGCTTTGAACAGACAAAGAAAAAAATTAAAGGAAATATGATTTACAGGATCTTTACAAAATTCTCCTCCATAAAACACTAATGCTAACAGCAATCTGTGCTTCCTACCTGTGCAAATGAATTACATGGGAAAGTATTTACTTCTGGATATAGGAAGATCTGTGCTATGAAGCAAATTAACATAAAAGTTAAACAGTGACAAATACTTCCAGTGACACACAATAGGAAGAATGAGACCCCTCTAATGGTGATTTCTAGTTCTTTGGTTTAAATCCTTGGACATTTGGATCCTTGGATCCATCATCTGGAGAGGGAGGATGCTCACAGTAAATGCGATGTGAAAGTACCCACCTGTGCCATGCTGGAGCCCTCTAGAGGGTACTATGTTGTTACCTCATGCACCTTGTACATTACAACTACCTCTACAGATGTCAATCTACACTTTAACCTTTAAAGAGGATTTGTTTTCCTGTCTTGTAAATACCCTGCTGCCCCACAGGCACCAAGTGCTACAGACCATACAGTGAAGTTCAGAAAGGGGCAGAATAGAGACAGCAACTAGGGAGAGATCCGCTTAGAGGGAATGAAGGGTTTTCAGGAGGAAGTCACTGGTATGAGAATTAAAAGCATGCATCAGAGGACTGGTGGGAGCAGGAGCCTTGTCTGTAAGCAGTTCCTTGGTGCCTGGTCCAGTGGGTGCTGGAGAAGCTGAGTGGCAGCCAGTACATGGCAAGAGCAAAGCACAACCTAGAGGTGCTCCTGTTCAGGACTTCAGCCCCAGCTCTTTTTACATCCACAGGGCACTGTACTGGGTTTGCAAAGCAAGGGTTTGGCAGTGGGGGGCTATAGGGGTCACTTGTGTGAGAAGCTGCCAGAAGCTTCCCCCATGTCCAACAGAGCCAATGCAGCAGGCTCCAAGACAGAGCCACTGCTGGCCAAGGCTGAGCTCATCAGTGATGGTGGTAGCACCTCCGGGATAAGGTATTTAAGAAAGGGAAAAACTGTGCACTAGCAGCAGAAAAAGGAGTGAGAATGTGTGAGAGTAACAGCCCTGCAGGGCCCAAGGTACGTGAAGGAGGAGGGAAAGAAGTGCTCCAGGCACCAGAGCAGAGATTCCCCGGCACCCCCTTGGTGAGCTAGGTCTGCTTTGCCCATGACAGTAACTGATGAGTGATCCCTCCCTCTCCTTATCTCAGCCACAAGCCTTTTGTTATATTTCTGTCCCCTGTCCAGCCGAGGAGGGGAGCGATCGAGCAGTTTGGGGTGTCTGTCAGGGTCACCCCAGAGCAGCACATCCAGGCAGTGCTGTCTTCAGATTTAGACCATCCTGCTCCCTCCTCCGGTTCATCCCTTCAGGTGTGAAGTGACTCAGTCCCTCCTCACTCTTCTTTGATAATTTTAATGAGTTTATTTCTTCCCCTGTAATACGGAAGTACTTCCTAAAGTGCTTTTACATTGAATTCATTCCGTGGATAAGCTGATTTTGAGGTGGTCATTTACAGCAGATCCCTCCTTGTGCTTCCTTTGTGCCAGCCAGCGGCTCTTCTGCAGGAGTTACAGTGCCAGTGCTGCGCTCACAGCTGGAAACCCGAGCTCGTTTCTGTTGAGCCTTTTCTCAGTTCCATAGGTGCTTCTTTGGTAAGGATGGAAAAGGTGGCTCAGTGACCATCCCACACTGCACAGGCAGTGGAAAAAAATACACAACTGCTTCTTCCTCTGCTGTGTGTTGCAAGACACTCTCTCACGGTACAGTGATGGAACAAGTCACTGGAACAACTCAGATAATGATTATATTTTCCCAGATCTAATCTTTGTCACTGTATCTTTGAATCAAACTTACTTTTTAACTGCATTCTATAATTCAAGGACATATTCCAATAAATGTCTATTTTTAATATATTATGAGAAAGGAAATTTCAAAGATTTCTCCAGTAAATTTCCTCTGGGCCCATTTAAAACCACTAAAATAAAATAAATAGCTGTTTGATAGGAAAAGGTCAAATACATTTTCCCTTGCTAAGTACTAATTTTGTGGCTGTCACCCAGTTTTCTTCATCAACAAAGTGACTGCAGTCACCATCCTCTACCAGATACCAGCAGGACCTTCCGAAATACCGAAGGTGACAAGAGAGTAAAACGTTTGGTGTGAGGTTCTAGTCTGTAACAGACATGGAATGCACTTTTCAAAGCTAATAATTTATCTCATTAATCACAGTAGATTTCCAAATAGCCAGTATAAGTGGTGAATAAATAAAGGAGTGTAGAGCCCCTTGGGCTGCTGGTTGTACAAATCATCGTCTGTGATCACAGGAGGAAGACAAGGGCTGAAACACGGAATTTCGCCACCCAGAAGACTGCAGGAGACAGACCAAGGTGGAGCCGTCATTAACTCCAGTTACTGGCGATATATTGCCAGATTAATAGAAGCTGTGAGATATTATATTATCCAACAAAATATCCAAGAGCCACCCACATGAATTATAGTGCATGCTTTGTGTGAATCAACAGACATACTTGAACAGAAGGGTAATGCGTTTGCCTTACCTCAGACAAAATTTCATTAGCACATCACTTTTGGCATGAGCACTGGGGCTGGCAAACCTCCTGGGAAGCTGGGCTGCCTTCAGCTGACACCCACCCAGCCGCCTATAAATGCCCTCAGCGAGGACACAGCCTGCACTCGCAGTGTCTCCATCAACCTTGCAGCGGCCTTTGCATTTGGGACTGGATCTCCCATTCCTTGCACCATGAGCTGCAGCATCAAGAGAACATCCAGCACCTCTTACCGCAGCGGCGGCGGTGGCGGGGCCTGTGGTGGCGGCAGCGGCCGGAGCTCCTCCGTCTCCTGCAGGCGCTACGCCTCCTCCGTCGTCGGTGGGGGCAGCTATGGGGGGGGAGCCTGTGGCACTGTCTATGGCGGGGGCATGAGCGCAGGCAGCCTCACTGGGGGCTTTGGGGCTTGCATGGGAGGGGGCTTTGGTGGCGGCTTTGCGGGAGGCTTTGGTGCCGGAGGGGACCTCCTGCTCAATGGCAATGAGAAGGTCACCATGCAGAACCTCAATGACCGCCTGGCCGCCTACCTGGACAAGGTGCGAAGGCTGGAGGAGGAAAATGCTCAGCTGGAGCACCACATCCGGGAGTGGTACAGGAAACAAGCTCCCAGTGTTTCGAAGGACTACAGCTCTTACTACCAGACCATTGAACAACTCCAGAACCAGGTAGGATAGCCCTAACTAATGGGGCTCCATCTCCCATATGCTCTTCTCCATTGTAAGCCCTCCTCCTGCCTTCTGGCAATAGCTCCAAAGGGCTGGAAGGGAGCTACTGGGTGGCTTTCCTGGTGCTGCTTCAGGCAGGGAGCTGCTGAGCTGTGCCTCTCACCTCTTGGGCCAGTGAACCCCCACATGAGCAAAGGGGATGTGCTCTGAGGTCAGCCAGCCCAAGGCACCAAGTGCTCCACCAGGCCCGGACCTGTTGGCGCACAGAACTAAAACCCCACATTGCAGAGGTAGCTCCAAACCAGGCGTGTGTGGTTTCCAGTTCTTCCACCTGCTCCCACCCACCTCAGCTGGATGGAACACAAAGCCAAATCACCTGGACTGCAAGATCTGAACTCCCTTTGTCTCTGTACATTCCTATGTCTACTCGATGGAAGGACCCAGGCTGTCTTTACAGTGAGGTTACACCAGTACCAGGAAATCAGGTTAAACAGATCATGAAGAAGCACACTGCAGCAAAAGGCTTCAATACACTCCTTGGGACATTTCTCTAACTTGAGAAGCAAAGAGTAGGGATTCAGAAGGTCGGTCTGTGATAGCCCAAGTGTCCTTGAAAAGTAACTCTGAGGTGTTTCCCTCTCACATGGCCTCTGCATTACTGCAGGAAACAATTCCAAGACCCTCAACAACACCCTGCCAAACCTTTGTTTCTTCTTTCTTCTTCTGGCTGCCTGGAATGCAGAAAGACTTCTCTTCACCTTCCCCTTTTGTAGATCATTGCTGCT